TAAATAAATACAATATAAATTCACGTCTCGCACACTTTAATGCCCTTTGAATGTAACGTGTACGTTCCCTTGGAACTGGAATCATGGCGGAATTTCATGTGAAGTCCACTTCGCAGGGCACTTACGGTCGAATAAGACAACGCGTGAATGCTGCCTGAACAAGAGACCTCCTTACTGAAGTGAAAGGGTTGACTGATGTCACTATCTCGCGAACGCGCCGGCGGATCTCCACCAAATTTGGGGGATCCCTTCAGCTCGAGGAGACCTCTCGAACTCCACCCTCCACGCGTCGGTAGCCCCCCGGGATCGCTAGAGCGGTCGGCGCCGGACCGCGAATTTAACCACCCGCAACTCCCGAACCCCGGGCCTATCGACGCAGGGGTGGTCTCAGTCGAAAGCGGGCCTCTAGACGTACACTCGATTCGCGTTTGAGAGGGTTCCTCGAGCTGAAGGGATCCCACGAATTTGGTGTGGATTCGCCACACCATTACGGAGATATGGCCGTTCAAAGTTTCACTGGTTTTCCATTGACTTAAGCTTTAAAGCGTTTCATCCAGGTCGCCAGTAGCAAACAATGGAGCGCGCTCTGCTGGACAAATTAAGTAATTACACCATTTCAAGCATTTTATCTGCATTATATGTTCTGTAAAAAAATTGTCATATCGGCGGCATATTCGCCGATACCAATATATCGGCGACAGGCTCATATCGGCCGATAATATCGGCAAAACAATATATCGGTCGGGCTCTAGCAATTACATGTATCAAATGTAATAAAATTAATAAAGCAATTACTCTTTTTTTAATTTTTTTTTTAACTTTCGCTAATATTTGTAATACATTTGTTTTGCATTTACAGAAACAATTTATTCAAATGACATCATATTGAAAGATCAACATCATATTGAATAGTGCTGCTACAATGAAAAGAACAAGACTAGAAAATTCAGTTCTAGGCATAAACACCATTAAACATTATGCAATGATAATTTACTTCAAAATTTAAAAATGAAATGTTATCTTAAATATAAATGTTATAGAATTAAATAATACAAGGCCATTTCAGAGACTTGGATGAATGAAACCGTGGCTCTCTTACAGGTGAGATCTGGATGGGTTGGGAGAGGGGAATGTGGGTGATGGGGGTGGCAGCAGAAGCAGAGATGCTGGCTCCTGTAGTGTTGCTCTGCTGGCTGGCTGAATGCTGCACCGCTGCTGCTAAGAGCTGAGCCTGAGCCTGCTGCAGCAATAACTGCTGCTGCGCTGGAGTAAAAGTCAACTTGAAAAAAGAGAGAGAGAGAGAGACAAAAAGAGGAATTAATTTAATGTCTAATGACCACATTTGTCACTATAGGCCCATTTCCATAAAATTCTCAAGGTGGAAATTAACCTGTTATTCACAAAGCTTTACCCTGGACTCTTAAATTCCAGTTGCAGATGTTGCCACTGTTGAAATGTGCTATTTACAGTTAGCCATAATTAATTACATTTATTAATTGTTTATATTTATTAAAGTGACTGATAATACCCCGCCTGTGGCCGAGACGCTGGGAAAGGCTCCAGCCCCCCCGTGACCCTACAAAGAATAAGCATTTTGGTGAATGGGTGGACTAGGATAAAGTGAGTATTATCTGGCTGATCACAGGATTTCACCGTGTCCGCCCCCATAAGGTGACCAACTGCATGTAAATTAAATCAACCCATACTGAAATCTTCATGTGAGTGTGCATGATTTTAAGCATGTTTCCCAAAATCCATAATCTGTGCACGAAACAGAACAGTAAAATTTCTGTGTGTCACTGTACAGTATAACAAGCTCATATGTATATACCACATTGAAAGTTTAATATTTTGATTCACCTAGTGGCTGGCTGGTTTGGTTCGTGGCTTATAACTCTTTAACAATGACTTTTAAAATCTCTATGGAAAAATTAATGGGGAAAAACACTTTCGAAGCCAAAATCGCTGAAAAAGCAGACAAGCTCTGATCTACTCTACTGCACAATGTTTTTTTTCTGGTTTAAATGTTCCAGTTTGGTAGTAGGATTCAAATAAGGATGAATAAATAGGGCTTTTTACCTTTTGCTCAATCTATGTGGAAATGGGGGCAGAGAAAGCAAATACAGATGAAGACCATCCAAAAAATTCCTCTCCTTCCTCTACTTGTTCGATGCTCATGTACGGTGATATAAATATACCGCAGCCTACTGAGACTTCAAGCGGAGAGCAAAGCGGGTATGCTAATTAACGAAACTGTTATGCAGTACATGTAAATTCTGCATAGATTTGCATATTCTCAATCTCAACCATCTGTTTCCGAGCAACTGCAGAGCAGCTAATTAGCATATGGGGGCCCAATAATTTCCCCTGTAACCGAGAGATAGCACGTTGTGCTTTAAATCTCTAATTTTCAGAGTTACGACAAATCTCATACATAGTTTTCAAATAGACACAGCAATGCATGACATCAGGTGGAAAGCCTCAGCAGTCACTCTGAAACATGATAATCACACACACAGGTCAAGACAGTGGAAGTTTAGTGACTCAGACAGGGGCCCTGGGGACATCTTTAAATTCCTATAGCTCTTTCATCCATGTCACAGACCACAAAGTGTGTGTGAGCTCAGAGAAAAAGATTATACCTGTTGGAGCAAGGCCTGTGCGTGTGCGTTGGTGATTGCACTAGTTGTTTGCACAGTCTGCCTGTGAAAGTCCAGTCCATTTGTTTGGGCACCTGGAAGAAGAAAAGCAGTCAATTCCACAATAGATCAGAGCCATACAAAAAGGTCTTTTAAACCAAGTTATTCAGCTCCATGGCCTTTCTTATTTCAAACTTTTTTAAAAAAGTTCAGAGAGACGTTGTCCTACATATTCAACCCGAGTCAAAACTGCTCAAGTGACCCTTTACAACATAAAATTGTGAACTGATCGTCTTTTGCTCACGCAAATGTAAAAGAAAGCGGTGTTAGAAAGATCAAGGCAAAAGATCTGAGCAGACTATTGGAGAAAATACATAACATGCGAGTCTCTATAGAGCCAACGGTTCCTTGGGTAACTCACCAGTGTTTTCGTCCCCGCTCTCCATTGCACATTTACTTGTTTCCGATGGATTACTCATTCTAGAATCTGAAGCAGACAGAAGAAGGTCGAACTTTCAGTTTCTTTTCAAAAACCAATAGTTCAGTGACTTCCAAAAGTGAGAAAGCATTTAGAAAAAAAAAATCCATTCCAATTTTTGATTTCAAACCATATGACCCAATATTTTTCAACCAAACACTTCAAAAATATTCCTACTTAACCTGTTATTGACTACACAGAACGTCTCGATGTTTTAATATGAGAAAATGAAAAAAACTGAATGGAGTAAATTACCAAACATGGTGACTACACAACTCCAGATAGCACAGCATCACTATATGATACGAAAACAGATCTTAAAATGTTGTTGCTGACTGCAGACATTGCTCACCAGCAGCTGCTGCATCTGCCTTGTAAAGAGTCTCTACGAGCATCACAACAAACTTAGCACCCCTTTCGCAGACAACCCTCAGAAGAAAAGTCTTCCGTGTAACTAAATGGTTTAGAGTGGAAAAACAACACACGTCCAGAGCACAGCTAAGCTTCACTGAAACTGTGGCTGCCTTTCTCTCAGTCTCTCCGGCTTGCTTTGCTCTCTCTCTCTCTCTCTGTGCCACGATTGTCATAACAACTAGAGTGTGAAGAAGTTCATTTTCATTCTGGAACGGAACAGAAGCGAAGCGGCTGCCAGTGCCGTAATAAAGCATAATCAGTATGCAGCTGATTAAAGCCATATGCAAATCTCCCTCACTTCATTATCCGAGCAACACTTTGAAGTCCTGCAAGCAATTCATTTCGCACGGCGCGCTGAGAGCTTTCTCCATAATTTAAATGTTCATAAATATTTATCATCTCATTAGCATATTAATTGGATGCTTTGGAGGGAAAAAGGAGGAATGGAAAAAAAAATCCAGAGTGTGAATGCACAAACCCAATTACCTACGGAGTGCTGGTTAAATTAGGTGAAACAGGTGAGCTTTCAGTCAATGCAATCAAAGCGCTTAAAACGGTGAGGTCTGTATCTGGACATAAAGACAGCAGGTTGCGTTTAGAAGCATTTCTTAAGCACCAGAGTTTGCGGGATGGAGCTGTTCAGGAAGTAAATTACTTGCCATTCTCCACCATCCTATTCACACAGCCCCATGTGGCCCAAACACTTCACGGATCAAATTCTGTGACTTCTGTAGCCGTATTGTCTGGAAAGGAACATGAAGTCTGCTTTGCATATCCAGATTAACTGTGCACCTCATTAACTGATATTTTCAGATCTTGGCCTAATTACAACAGAGATTTACATATTAGAACAAATATCTGACAGAGTAAGCATAAAGAAATCAGCCTATCCAAAATGATGTATTGCTGACACTTAAAATACTTTTTCAGATAAAAGCTTCCAAACAAAAGCAGGATTATAAGACTACCAAGACTAGCATAATCAAAAAAAAAAAAAGCCTACTTTGATAGGTTATATCTGGGGTTTTTTAAATTTACCAAACAACTTCTTATCCAAAGGCAAACTTGCGTGAAAACCATGCAAGAATTTAGTTAAATGGTAAAACTAACCTGGAGAGGAATATTCAAATTAGCAGAAAATATTTCTCAATTTAATGCAAATATTATCCTTTTTAAACAGCATTAATAATAAATTCAGCACTAAGGACAAAATCATTTCAATATTTCATTATGAGCAAGCAGGAACACATAATTCATATTCAAATTATGCATTTGAAAACATTAAATTTGAGTTTCAGACTCAGAGAGGAACTGATGAAAAATTAAAGACGCTTGATAGTATGATGGAAACAATTCATAGGCCATAATTATTTTCTCTCATATATTATCATATAATATCAATATGATAAATCCATTTAACTGGACAACAAGAGAAAACAATATGAAGTCACTCCAATCTGCCACATAGAAGCACAAAGAGGATTGTTCTATCATTTTTAAAGGCAGGCAAAAACCACAAGCTCGCACTTGATTTTAGGACTATAATCATTTTAATTAATAGACTGTTAGCCTGCAGGGACTGTTTCTACACGTTCACATCAGCAGAGCATGAAGAAAAATGCCAAAAAAAGAAAAAAATACAGACAGATGGTCAAAGAGAGACGCAAAATGCCATGAAGTTTCACTACTATGTTTGAAAAGTGTCAGTTACTACAAAAATAAAAGTAAGGATTCATGCAGGTAATTCACACTATAGGTATGAGCTGTGGATACAGGAAACAAACAAGTTTCAGCACGTCATTGTCTCTCTAGGCCCTACACACAGTGAACATGTTATCAGTTTAAAATTAGCGTCTGTTACACCTGACTCCTTCATGACACATCAAAAGCCAAACGATTATATGATAATTTAATTTACAAACAAATCTATAAATTACAAATAAATCTGATGCAGTCAGAGAATTCATGTTAAATGAGAGAAGGCTGATACAAAAGATTTCAAAGCAGAATTTCAAAATTCAATAAAAAAAACCGTGGTAAATTTCCCCAAGTTTCTCTTGTAGTAAGACATGAGTGACATAAGTTTTATGATATCATTTTTCAACAGCTAGCTATGGTCTTCTAATTTGATGAGCAAAGACATGTAAGATACTCTAAATTAATTATGGGAACTACTGTATAAAAGCAGTATTACAGGGTGGGCAATATGACCAAAATCTTTCACCCAGATATGCGTCATGTTGTTACTGTTAACTAAAACGTTAAATGAAATAAATGAAATTAAGCAGGAAAAATAAATAAATAATTAATTAGAAATGCTACCTTGGCAACTAACTGAAATAAGTTTATGTATTAAATTACTCAAACAAATACATTCATTTAGCTCTATAAATGATAAAAACTAATAAAAACTACAAAAGCACACTAAAAAAATGGCAAACATTTTGAATACAAAAAATATTCAAAACATTAGAAATATTCTAAGAGAAAATCAACACTAAAATAATCCTGGCATCATTTGAATCATAGCAGCCAGTGATAGACCTATTAGTAATTAGGTTATTACTACACCAACATTTTATAAACGGAATCCAAAACTTTTCAGATTTCATAACCCTCAATGTAACCACAAAATAAATTACAACCTGGTATACATAAAAATATAAATTGTTATACATATATCTTCACCCACATAAAGCAATATTTAGCATAAAGAAAGCTTTAAACTGCCAAATGTGGACTATAAGGCAAACATTAACATGATGAATTTCTGTGAAGTACTGTGAAAAACACTAAACGAATAAAACTTAACAATCATGAATTAGTACTGAATATCAGCTTGACAGTGATTACTTGTAGATCTGAATATCTGTGAACATGGATACAAGACTGAGAGTTATATTAATGACTGTACGCAATATGATAACTAAAGCACTAAAGCCTATTTGTCACAAGAGAATAAAATAGCAAAACTGACTTTTTGGGCCGTTCACGGATAGTGAAACACAGTAAAATGACTAAATACACAAGCATACAGCTTCTGGAATAATAATGGAGAAGCCGAGTGTGCTCTATATGAGGATCACCTATTAGACTAGCAAATAAAGCTGGCATAATGCCTGCCTGCATCTCCTTGAGCAGACACGCCAATACAATGTTACAGAAACACTGGCTGTGCTACAAAGTATCAATTTGTAACAACTGCACTGGATACGTAGTAGAAACTGCATTCAGAGTTCCATTTTGGCACGTTCCACCATCCTTCTACAATGAAATGGATTCATTCTGGTAGAATATGCTGAACAGCGCATTCTGAGCTCTAGAAGGCCCACATGAATAACATAACAGGGCTACACGCCTGCAATGGGCACAAAAGGCAAGAGAATAGGCATTTTAAAAAATCACGCCGTGTCCTAACTGTACACCAAGCAAGCCCCAGCTGCTCTGCTCCTTCATATTTTCACTGTAAACACGTTGCGCAGACGCCGGCTGATTGTGAGCGAATGAATATTCAAAGCTTTATATGTGGGATTGGCTCAGGGCGCAATACAGCAACACAAAGCCGCCGGAGTAGCATTAGCCGCTTAGCATGCACACAGCAGCCTTTAGTTATGATTAACTGAAAAATTCGAACAACTTCTGAACGGGGATAGTGCAAAACCCCGCGAGCTGTCGCCGATTATGACTAATAAAATATGCAAAGCGGCGATTTCTCGGCGGCGGTATGAATATGTAACGCGGCTGCTCTAATCACACAAAGGAGGCATTTTTCCTTTAATTTGCCGTCGCACTGCATCGCCAGTTTCACCGTCGCACAGACAGAGAATTATTCCCCGATACGTTTATTTAAAGTGTGCATATGATTGCAACGTCGGGTTTAAGTATTTTGTTTACGCTTTCCCTACCGCGCTTTTCTGGGTTGAGAGAAAGAGTGTTTGAATATGAATATGAATATGTAAAATGCAGTAATGATTACCTGGTCCTGAACTCTCATCTTGACTCGCTGCTCCTCCGTCCGCCATTTTGAATATTTAATCCCAACTCTTCAAAACACAATACAGAGGCTCACCGATGCACTCACTCACTCACAGCATCAGCATGGCAGATCTGAGAGTTCCCATCAGTGCGTCTGAACTCGCCCACGACCACCTCCGAAGGACATTGATCCTGAACCATAATTACACTTTCAACTTTTAAACACACTTTGACTTTGGACACATGTAGACCTTGCATGCGTTATTTGGTCATATGCAAAAAAAGCAAGTCATATGGAAATTTACTGAAATTAAAAATTTACCAAAAAAGAAAGAAAGAAATGAATGGGTGGTCTATATTACCACAGCCGAAGGTCATTTCAAATGCATTTGGCTTGTCTCTGTAGGCAAAATATGTTTGCATCACGTTAATGCAGACATTACAACGGTCCAGTGGCTGATGATACATACATTTAATTTGCATTCAAGACAGTCATACATTGTTATATTATATTTGTTCATGTTTTTTAAGTGTCCCTTTTCCAAATAAAATTTAATCACAATTTTAACCACATATCTCATATTTGATCAAATAAAAATGTATTATTCAACTGTTTGTAAAATAACATCTTGCTACAAGTTAATATGTAATGAAATAATATAATCAAGTAATAATAAATAAAGCTGTATGACATACTGAAAGACCAAAATGTCATGACTGCTTCATTACTTACAGGTCAAATATGACAGTAAAACACCACTGAAGTAAACACTTTATTTATTAAAAAAAAAACACTGTTCTTTTATAAAAGCAAATTCATATTTACAAAAACAAAGTCTATTTAGGTATTTTTCTTGATTATAAATCTTGATTGCGTTACCAAAAAATTATATTAATGGCATATTCTTTACTGAAATCTGACTAAAATGACCCGAAAACAATAAAAGGGCTTAAATGAAATAGCCTATATAGAAAGAGTGAGAGCAAGTCTGTTAACTAGCACAGCTGAGCAGTAAATAGAAGCTGAGATTTTAGTGAGCATG